TAGAGAGTAAATTTGATAAGATCTTAGCTTAAACTTTTCGAACTGGAGTCACGGACGTATGAATACGCCACTGTCGTGATCATAGACAACTATCTCTCTCAACCCTGACCAGTAGGTTTCCACTCTGGCCCTGGAAAAGAAGAGATGCATTATGTTTAAGACTCGTCAGCATTCACAAATCGTCAATAGGTAGGTTTCCACTCCTATTTTTGTTTTGCTCTCCCAAACTAGATCTGACACTGGATGAACACTTTCGTGTCACCAAGCATCTGGATCAGATTGTAGTTCATGACGCTACTCTCATGCAGTAAAACGAATTCAGAAGAAAAAGTTCTAAGATTCGGCTCAAAAGCTCATGGAATCCTCATCGAAAATATAAATCCCCATCGAAAATCCCTTAATCCCAACAATAAAACTACTCAGACATAATGAACGAAATCAAAAACATAGTATTAATAAGTACAATAGAAACCGAAATTGAAAAAGAAAGAACAAGGGTTCAAGAGACAAATCTCTTTCTCCCTAAAAGCTAAAGTAAAAAACAATAAGAAAAATATGAAGTTATCAGCCGCCGCTGAGGGAGAGAACGTGTGAAAAACAACTTTGGAAAAGCGTTCGTATATATGTAAACACTAAAGAAGAAAGACTTAGAGAGAGAGAGAGTTAGAAAATGAAGAACAATATCAAGATCTCTTATTATTTCTCTCACTAGAATATCATATTTACAAAGTCAAGCTCACTTATATATATCAGAGAAGCTTAGAGACAAAGTTTTGAAACTTGGGGACAAAGTGATCTAAGGAAAATGAATATCCAAAAGAGATGAATACTTAATAGCTAAGTAGTTTGGAGACAAAACTATTACAAATGTATAATCAATATATTTATAACAATCTGATCTTGACTATAAACTAGAGATCTAAAGTCAACATACTTTTTCCAAGTCCATAAAAAAAATCAAGAACCGTTGATGAACACCAAATCATAATCAACGGTGCAAAGAGAGCAAACAAAAATAATTCAATAAAAAGGGGGTAATTACTAGTTAGAGTCTGGTACGGGACCCACATGAGCAAAAACGGTAAAGAAGTCCGTCTTTTTTTAAGTCGTATAAAATGGAGAGAGGTTTCTCCTTTGCAACAGAAGCTCGCTTCACCTATATTTCTCTCTCCTCCTTTTCGCTCTCTCTCTCTCTGGTGTGTGTGTGATCGAGTGTTCAAACGACAGAGAGAGACGCCGTTTTGGATTTCTTCGCGGAGGAAGGAGAATGTAACATCCCAATTCAGGCCCAATTGGGAAAAGCCCATCAACACCAGCCCCGCTCCAGCAACCCTAATTTGCCCCCATATTTAAGTGAAGAAATTAAATGAGAAGGAGCATCATTTTCATTCTTTTAACCCTAGCCACCAAAGCAAAAAGAAAGAGAGAGAGAGAGAGAGAGAGAGAGAAGCTCGCCGCCGCCGAGGGAGAGAAGGGAAGCCGCTGCCGCCGCCTGAGCTCGCCGCCGCCGCCGTCTGAGAGGAGAAGGATTGGTCGTCAGCCCCCTCCTTCGCAGAAACTCCTTGATTCCTTTGCTACCAGTTCTCCTTAAGTCAGATCTGCTTTTAGGCCAAGGTGAGGATTAGATCTAGGTTTTCTTTTTATTATTTTGTCTTCTTCTGGTGTGTGGAGTCTAGATCTGATGAGCCTAGGATGTTTCCTTGTGCATCTAGCTAGATCCATATGTAAGTCTAATGAAAAGATCTAGGATCTCATTAGAGGAAGAACCAGCATGTTTGATTGTTCACCCTGATGTGTGGTTAGTGATTGGTAGTGTAGCTAGATCAGGTGTTCATCTCGGTGATGATGTGCCGAGGTATGGACTTGTTTGCTGGGCTATTGCTGTCTGTGTGACTATAGCGGTAGTTCAACGGTGGGAGAAGGTACGCCGATCCTTCCGGAGCCTGTATGGCTAGAGGTGTGTCTGTGTGACTGCCTGGTATTATAGCTGTGTGACATGGGAGATGTTGTCCTAGTCTGTGTGACTGCCTGGTATTATGTCTGTGTGACATGGGAGATGTTGTCCTAGTCTGTGTGACTGGGAGGTGTGGCCTTGTGTGATAGGCGGGTTGGAGACATCATTGCTTGCTAGTTGTTTGTGCATCGCTAGGATGCTTGTGTGTTGCTTGTTGGATTTATTTTTGACATGTTGGTGGAAAATGAATGAGTGGGAAGGAAGCCTGGTTTGGTTCTCACTGAGTAATTTCCCCAAATTACTCACTCCTCTCTTTTAAATCCATATTGCAGGTGACTGTGATGAATGTGATTGTGATGATGTCTGGGAGGAACTATACGAGTAGCTCTAGTGTGGTGTGCCTTCAGAGATGGAGGAAGATTTTTATCGCTTTAAGAACTATTTTTCGTATTTTCTTTTAAGACATTATTTTCTGCTTATTTTCGGATTTATTCAAGTTACTCATTTCTATTGTAAGACTGGATTTGGTTTAATTTGGAATAAGATGTAAGCTTTTCAGCTGTGCATTCTAGTACTTTGTATTCACCATTTCAGCTTTTTTATGGTTTTAATCCGCTTACTCCTTTGGATCTAACTCACTTACCTCTGACTGAACGTGTAAGCATGGACGGCAAAAAGAAAGCTGAGTTGGTTAAGAAGATGCATGAGAAAGCTAAGAAGCACATCGAGCATAAGACGGAGCTGTACCGGAAATATGTCAATAGAAACACATATGACCATCTGCTGGATGCGTCAATTAATACAATGAAATATTTGAATGGCCCGCATGGTGGGTGAATCGGCCCATATATATAACCATGTATTCTTTCTAAGAATACAAGAGATTCATTCCCAACTTTGGCTGGCGAGGGCCTAATTATGAGTTTTCCTTAAGAACATGCTTTACATGAAAACTCTTCCGATTGAAAAATCTTCTGGTTTTTCAATGGGTGGCCACTCGAATTTTACACTATCTTTCTCATCATTACTGATCCCGGATGTCATACTCTAAATGTACTAGTAAACTTCGGGTTTACTGTAATATACAATCATATTTATTTTTGTGCAATATAGTCCGGAGGACATCATTGGTAATTCTTGCAAGACATGTCTACTCCCAGATGTACTGCAAAGATATTCAATCCCGTTCTTATTCATAGTCTCTATATGATATCCATTACTACAGATATCCTTAAAACTTAACAAGTTTCTATGAGACTCAGGAGAATATAATGCATCTTGCACTTCAAATTTAGTCCCATTTGGCATTGAAAAACTTGCTCTTCCAGAGCCTAATATAATCTTTGCATTACCAGATATGGTACTCACGCTTCCTTTCGCCCGGTATTGTTGCTGCAGGATTACATTTCCAGGATGGAATGTTTGAAGAGTTTTTTTCGATCATGTCAAAATCACTTACTTTAGCTCCACATAACATCATCCTGGAGGTGATTCCGAACATCGCAGAATTATATTCACAAACACTTTTGTAACCTGGAACCGGAGATTCAACCAGTCATGCTTGATTTTCGGTAAGATCACATATTTCTGGTGATCAAACCTGTCTTTTAGTGACTGCCAAAGATATGCAGGATCTTCTTTCATGATGTATTCCTCTTTTAAATCATCATGGATGTGGTGGAGCAAAAAGATCATAGCTTTCGCTTTTTTCTCATCAGAAGTTGTTTCTGACTTTTCAATAGCTCTGAGAAGCTCATTTCCTCTTAGATGCATTTTTGAACCTACTGTCCATGACATGTAATTCTTCCTAGACACATCAAGAACAGGGATCTCAAGTTTTGCCAAATTTGCCATGCTAACTTAAAATTGAACAAAGAGATAATCTTGTTTTCCATATACGAACGAGCAAGTAGAACGTTGTGCTGATAACGTGTGAAAAACAACTTTGGAAAAGCGTTCGTATATATGTAAACACTAAAGAAGAAAGACTTAGAGAGAGAGAGAGTTAGAAAATGAAGAACAATATCAAGATCTCTTATGATTTCTCTCACTAGAATATCATGTTTACAAAGTCAAGCTCACTTATATATATTAGAGCAGCTTAAAGACAAAGTTTTTGAAACGTGGGGATAAAGTGATCTAAGAAAAATAAATATCCAAAAGAGATGAATATTTAATAGCTAAGTAATTTGGCGAGAAATGTATAATCAATATATTTATAACAATCTGATCCTGACTATAAACTAGAGATCTAAAGTCAACATACTTTTTCCAAGTCCATAAAAAAAATCAAGAACCGTTGATGAACACCAAATCATAATCAACGGTGCAAAGAGAGCAAACAAAAATAATTCAATAAAAAGGGGGTAATTAATAGTTAGAGTCTGGTACGGGACCCACATGAGCTAAAACGGTAAAGAAGTCCGTCGTTTTTTAAGTCGTATAAAATGGAGAGAGGTTTCTCCTTTGCAACAGAAAAGCTCGCTTCACCTATATTTCTCTCTCCTCCTTTTCGCTCTCTCTCTGGTGTGTGTGTGATCGAGTGTTCAAACGACAGAGAGAGACGCCGTTTTGGATTTCTTTGCGGAGGAAGGAGAGGGAGAAGCGAGATGTCAGGTCTCGAGGATATCAAGAACGAGACTGTAGATCTGGTATAATTTTGATTTCTACATCTTCTCGTTTGATTAATCAATGTTCCTCGTGTTTGTGTTCATCATGCCCACAAGGTGTTCGATGATTTGCTTGAATGAGAATAGATGTGTTTCGTTTCCCTTTTGCGTGATTGTTCTTGTTTCGCGTAAAATCTGTCTTTAATGATGTTGTTTCCCGATGATTCGCTGATTATTTGAAACTCAAACGAGATCAATTTTCTTGCAAGAAGAAGGTGGAAGAGCCTAAGAAGAGGTCCGCAGAGGCCAACAAGTCAGCAAAGAAGAAGAAATCAAATGAAGCAGCACAGTTAGATTCATCAAAAAGATCAAGACCCCAACTTCAGGGTAAAAAGACAAAGACAGACGATGGTTCTTTAGAGAATTTAGTTGAAGCTCACTACAAGGTCCTTCACTGCTGCTTCATTTGATCTCTTTCTCTTGTTGGGGTGAACGGCCATGTAGTGACATTCACGTAAATTCTTTGAAGAACCATCGTCTGTCTTTGTCTTTTTACCCTGAAGTTGGGGTCTTGCTCTTTTCAATAAATCTAACCGTGCTGCTTCATTTGATCTCTTCTTCTTGGGTAGAACGGTCTCAACGGTCTTGGGGTGACGGGCCATGTAGTGAGCATCGAGTAAATCCTTTGAACTAAATGCTCTGCCACAAAGATCTCGTATATTTAAAGGAAAATACATTTTCAATGGAAAAATGGCGAATTGGGAACAGGAAATTTTATCACCTTATCATGCATTCATCACAGTAGAATCGGTGACGGGCCGTGTAGTGAGCATCGAGTTTGAACTAAATGCTCTGCCACAAAGATCTCGTATATTTAAAGGAAAATACATTTTTTCAATGGTGAAATGGCGAATTGGGAACTGGGAATTGAATCACCTTATCATGCATTCATCACAGAAGAATCGGGGAATTGCTGACTTGTTGGCCTCTGCAGACCTCTTCATAGGCGCTTCAACCTTCTTTTTACTAGTAAATTGTTCATCAAAAAGAGCAAGACCCCAACTTCAGGGTGAAAAGACGAAGACAGAATCTCCTCCCAATAGGGTTGAAATTGAACCCTTAGAACATTGTGATACAAACAAGCGTCAGCCGTTAAAGGTAATTGGTAATTTGTATTTGATTAATATTTTCAAATTTATGTCTGGTATTATATATATGTATCTTTTGATTTAGGTTGTTTGGGATGCCCAGAACTGTTTTATTCCAACTCGTTTATCGTATAACAAGGCGTACGATAATATTGTGAGAACTCGAAGGGAGTGGAACTATGAAGTGGATACTTTTTGCGCATATTCTGTAAAATTCTGCGACAAGTTCAAACAGATACCAGGTGTTGAGCCAGTTCCGGTTCCTGTTACTCTCGGTCCTAAAGGTAATTTATAAACTCCACACGTTAATGTATTCGATAATTTAATAAACTCCATTAACTAATAAATTGTTCGGTTTCAAATCTCTATTTTTGACCAACTCTTTAAATTAATAAAATTAGGAGTCCTATTTATCAATTAGTTTTTACTGTATCTATACTCAGGTGAAAAACGTGATGATGTGGATAATGCTATTGAGCTCAATATGTCTCAATGGGTGATCGAACGTGTGCCTCCAGCTCCTGTGCTATTAATAGCTGGAGATGCTGATTACATAGAGATAATTGAAAAACTGATCGGATGTGGCTTTAAAGTGATATTGGCGTACAACTCTAATGCAATCGAAGAACTTCGAAATTCCACGCCTGAAAGTGTATCTTGGGATGAATTGGTTGGTGGAAAATGTAAGATTTTTTTTGTCTTCTTTTTTAGTTATTCTTTTTTGGTTATGTTGATCTTATCTTCTTTTCTAATTATCTTCTCTGATCACATACATACAGTGATAAACAAGAATTTGCCCTCACCAGTTCCTCAGGATGTACCTAGTGCACCAATGAGGTGTTTTATACATTCACCAACGAGAAGCATGCGCGTAATCATTTGTAATCATTCATATTATCCAATTTTCAACTTCAACATTTTTTGGGGTTAATTTTCTTATTGAATGTTTAGGTTATATGGGATTTACGTACTTGTGCTTTGCCTGGGAAAATAGAGATGAAAGAACTCAGGATGAATATTGAAAAGGCAGTAGAAGAAGCTGGTGATTATAGAGTTCAGTCTATTCAGGTCTATTCCACACACCTGAAACCCGGAAAGATAAAAAAACTAGAAGGAGCTGGAATTCAAGTTCAGATTTTACATCCCCCAACCCACGGGAAAAAGAGTTAGTGTATAGTCTATTAGAGATTTTTTTCTTTCCAATGTTTTTAGTTTTATACTAACTTGTGATTTTTCTGTATTTGCAGAGAGAGGAAAAGGTAAAAAGAAAGGGAGAAACAACAGCAAGGAACATTGTGACGCGAGGATAGCAAAAGAAATTCTTGATTGGAGCATGATAAAGGAGCCTCCTGCACCAATTCTCCTCATTTCTGGTGATGTACGTCTGAGAGAAAGTATATCTGTGTTGGTAGCTTGGAAATATGATATATTTTTGGCTCATAATAACAAGTGTGAGGACTCTCTGAAGAACTCATCTACACGTTCTGGATTTTGGAATAGATTTCATAATGGTAAGTCGAGAGGAGTTGCTTGGGGAATGTGGGATGACTCTCGTGTCTGACGTTTGTCTCTTTTTTTTGGTATTAGTCACTTGTTTGACATTTGTTTCTGATTTTTCTGTTTTGGAGTGAGTGAAACTTGTCAGTAGTAGAAATCGACATTGACTTGTGTTGGAGTGTTATTCCGTTTTTAGGTGGGCCTTGTCCGATGACGCAGAAACGTGAGGAAACACAAATTTTTTGTTTTGTTCCACTGTTTCATTTCCCAATAGTAAAATATTAATCTCTTGATTAGAGTCTAAAACTTTGCTAATTTGGAGCTTAGGAAGCAAGTCGACGGAGACAGAATCTTAATGAAAAATGGATAGTTAAATAACTTAAGCAATTGACTAGAAATTTAGTAGATAAGATTAAGACTAAATGAAGATGGGAGGGACAAAATTCCTCGGCTCTAGTAAACAAAATAGATTCATTAGTGATATGGGTTGCGTTTAAGGAGTTTAATGTGTTCCTGAAACGCTTATGCGATTACTTGAATGATTCCCATGTTTAGGATGTCTTTCTACACATTTAGGAAGGTCGTTAGTCTTTAATCTGATAAAATTTCTATCTAAAACGTTTGATTTTCGTCTTTGCATATAAGTTATTTCTCATATTCTTTCTAAAACTCGAAGAACCATTACTGAATTGTCAATTCGAGAAAAACTTCCTCATTTTTCAGGAAAGATTTGTAATAATCAGGAAGATTTTTTCTTTTATCTTTAGTGTTTACTTGAATGTGTTTCTCATGTTTTAAGAACTCTTCCTACAACTTTAGGAAAGCTTTTTGTCTTAAATTTGAAAAAAAAAATTGCTTCCTAAAACGTTTGTATCATCTTTGCATTTGAGCTATCGGCAATTCTAAGAAATTTAAAGTAGGATTTTTCTCCATCTCTTTTCGTATTTTTCATTTAGTTAGAAAAATGTAAATCTCTTAATTCGCATGTGAATTTCATCGTACGTTTAAACTAGAGAAAACTGTATCTATTCTAAATAGGGCTAGATCAGTGATTCTTGTTCCTTTGTGATATTTTCTGCGCTAAATTCTTGTTAACGTTTGAGATACTCTTTAAACTTATAATATAAGAATGTGATGCCATCATGGAACCATGGAACCAGAGGCTGAACCGCGGATTAAAGATCAGGACGTGGAGCAGGTACCGGATGCAGCCTTGATCATTCCGGACGGGCCAATATCACGCACCAAAAGGTTGGTAGGAGCTGTTCAGAAGCTACTTACCGAGCTTAAGAACCAGAACATGGAACCAACAACAACCAAAGCCGTGACCCTTCTCACATATCAGGGTATTTACTGACTTTGGCCTGGTATAGTTTTTGGTACTCTTTTTCTTTACATCCGGGTTTGTCCCAATAAGTTTAGCAGGAGGGATTTTAATGAGGTCAAAGGCTATACCACCACACGACCGCGGTTCAGTACATGCTTGGTTCACGGGTCAAGAGTTCAAGAGTCATGTTCGCTAGAGCAGCTCAAGGGTCAGTCAAAGCTAGGCGAAAAGTCAGTCCAAGTTTTAGTCAAACTCATTTATTCTCTTTGTAATTTCCTATGCATGACCATTGGTCTGATCCACCCCTATATAAAGGGATGAACCCTTCTCATTTTGATTCATTCACTTTTCCTTAATAAAATTTTAGATTTTTCTCCATTGTTCTTTTGAGAACTTTTTTTTTCGAGTCTTAGGTGGTTAGCCTAAATTTTTTTTCGGTTTATCAAGTTCTTTTCATCGGACTTGACGCAGCCTTCACTTTGCAAAGTCTAAGATTTTCGTTAGTAGTTTTAGGGGCTTAGGGAATTTTGGGAACCTAGTTCTCACGCCCTAACATCCTTTAACCGGCGATTTTTTCTTTCTTTGTTCCACCTCCTTGTTTCAAATTGTTCTTCGTGATTTTCGGCCTAAGGATTTGCGGGAGTCTTTCTCTCACGCCTTAGCATCTGCTCCAAGAATCGTTCGGAGTCAAGGATCTATCAACCCAACCGGACCAAATGTGTGATAATCCTTTGGGAGATCGTATCAAGTGGTATCAGAGCCACACACTTGAAGAATTTGGTATTATCTTTCTTTTTGTCTCTTTAACTTCCGCATTTTCTCATCTTTTCTTTTGTAATTTTTCTAGCTCTATTTTTTTTTTTAAAAAAGAAACCTATATAAAAAAACGAAAAATCAGAAGAAAAAAAAGAGATCTGTGAATTCAAATTCTTTTCTTTTTATCTTCTTTTTTTTTCTTCTTCATACTCGCTTGATTTTCCGATTTGGTTTTGGGTCTACATCGGTCTCGATTTAGTTCCTTTAAAACCGATGAGAGTCTCTTGTGTGTGTGAGAATATTAAGAGTGCTGAGAGAAACACTGAATGAAACACCAAGTAAGGAATTTTAATACTAACGTATTTGTTCGTTTGGCGAGGTGCCAACTTTTATGTCATCGGGTCCTTATTCAGACTCAGGTGGAGAGTGAAACTACTATACCTTTCGTGACGGAAACCACATTCGTTGGATCAATCCGGAAGAGATGGACGCTAAGCTTAACCAAATCACCGAGCTGATGAAACGTATGAACCAGCGAATGGATCGGCAGCCACAGCAATCTGATGGGGAACAAAGTAATGGCCGAAACCGTGACGAGCCAGAGCATCTGAGGAGAGATCGCAACCAGGAAGAAGTCTTAGACAACTCATTCTACACAGACGCTCATACATCTGGAGAAAGCCATACTAGACCGCGATACAACCAAGGCGTTCATCGAGATCGGGCTGATCGACGGGGCCAAATCAGGGGTTAGACTGCGGTCGAGAGGAACAGTACCATGGGTGATACAATGCGGCGCGAGAACGTGACCCAGTGGACCACAAGCCGTACCGCGGACGAGATCGGTATGAACCAGAAGTAGCCTGAGGCCGACCTGATAACGACCTTGGCGGGCTGAAGTTGCGAATACTACCCTTTTATGGAAAGAATGATCCCGACGCTTACCTGTAGTGGGAGAAAAAGATTGAGATCGTGTTTTGTGGCCAGAATTTTACGGAGAGGAAGAAAATCAACCTGGCGGCGACAGAGTTCCACGGCTATGCTGTGGATTGGTGGGATCAGATCGTCACCAACCGGAGACGGAACGGGGATCAATCCGTTGAGACATGGTACAAGATGGTGGGTCTAATGCGATGACGGTTTATTCCAAGCTACTATAACTGTGAACTACACAACAAACTTCGGCGATTGACCCAGGGCACTAAAAACATTGAGGATTACTACCAGGAGATGGAGCGGCTGATGCTCAAGGCTGACGTAGAAGAGCCGAAAGATGCTACTATGGCACGGTTCCTCAGCGGTATGAACCGAGACGTGCAGGATCGTATGGAGATGGAGACTTAGTGGAGTTTGTCCGATATGTATCATAAGGCCATACTTGTGGAACAACAGTTGAGGAGGAAGAGCACTGCCCGGTACGGATCCAGCTCACGGCCCAACGACAAATCGAGATATCCTTCCCGATCTGATGCCAAGCCTAAAACTGAATCTAAGCCGACTTAATCCACAGCCGATATCAAAGGTAAGACCGAGGCTACACCGGTCAGGAACAGAGACATTGAGTGCTTTAAGTGCAGAGGCAAGGGACACTATGCCAACAAGTGTCCGAACCAGCGAGCTATGCTACTCCTTGATTCCGGGGAGATCATCACCGACGATGAAGAGGACACCGGACAAGTCTATGATGATGAGGAATGACTTTGCACAGGTACCCGGAGAGCAAAGTCATTCATCCCCGGCAGCCTGATCCCAGTATCGAGGGATCCAGACCAGGTAAGAATAATCTATTTGGACGGAAATACTATTCAAATTTCCCTCCAATTGACAACAGGAATATGACTTAGGTTGACTCGACTGCCTACTCTCGCAAACCCACAAAAATGGCATTTAATGCGTGTTACTTGTGTGTGTCAGGTGAAAGCGACTTTTCGCAGGAGCCACAGAGAAAAGCAGAGAGCCATACTGCGTCTGAGCCGCCGACCCAACCCGTACACTGAAAGTAAAAGGGACACGCCAAGAGACAGTCTCGTTGCAGGCAGAACACGCCAATAAAAGTTGGAGAGACCAACAAAGGAATAACGCCATCGCAAGATTCAAGTCCGATCAAGTCGGGTCATGGGCCGATCCACCCGATCCACAATCTATGGGCCAACCCGATATACTAGCCCGGATCAGGTAATTTCCTATAAATACATTATCTTTCCCAACGGGGAAGGGTTACACTCTTAACCATCTCAAGTCTCACGATATCTCTCTAGATACTTTTGGTTCTTGAGCTCAGGCATTTGATAACACCGGATTTTGACCATTTTTATGGATCACTTTAATATCTTTTACAGGTGTTTTTACTCCATTTTCAAAGATTTTTAAAGGATTTTTATGTTTCCGAATTTTAAAAGATTTTTCAGGTAATTTGGGATAAAGAGGCACAAAATGGAACAAAAAGACTATTATGATAAATGCAGACCGTCAGAACTCTCATGGAGAGACGAAGACCTTCTCACCGTCTGATCACCCTCAAAACTGGACAACTTATAGAAGAATCAACCAGCTTTCAAATGCACTTGGTTTGGAGACATTCCAACGGTTGGATCTCAAGATATTTCATTAGCCCCAGAGCCACTCGAAGTCGGCCAGCAAGTCACGCGACCGCGACCAACAACCTATTTCCCGCGGTTAGAAGCTTCCCGACTGTGGCCAACCACTCAATCCCCGCGGTCACGACACTCCTGACCGCGGCAATCAATCTCCGAATTAAAGCCCATGTATCTGAAGCCCAAAGTCATTCTCAGCCTCAATTCTGGAACCCTAGAGACCATGGAGTATTGAAGACTATAAATACATGTCATTTAGGTCGTTTTTAGAGAGAACAATTGATACTTTACAGAAACTCTTTTCTTTTAGCCGTTTTTATGAGATTTTTGTAGAAGATTGTTCAAGTTCGAGTTCTTCAATAGAGAAGCTTTCTTTATCTCTTTTCTTTACTGTTTTTCATTACTTTTATTAAAACCGATGATGTCGACCTCAGCTATGTCTGAGTAGATCCCGAGTTGGGCTTAGGGTTCCCGAAAGAGGCTCTCATAATCAATTAAGACATCTAGGTTTATAGATCTAGGATTTCGATCTGTTCTCTGTTTATTCTTGTTCTTATTGCATGTATGCTTG